TTACAAATCAGCCCCTCTAGTTTAATTAATTATACTTGATCACAGAATTAATTCCTAATTAATTATTGACCAATATTAATTAAACAAATATGATTTCTCCTCTAATATATTATTCTTATAACATATTAATAAATCATAATAACCTCTCTCTCTTTATTTATTTCTCCAATCAAGTTGCTTTGGTGAAGGGAACCCAAAAGGACCATGCACCATCGGGTCAAGTACATACCAAAATAGTTATGGACTTAGACACTAATCCAACATATAGCCACATGCAACAGAGATCAGATAATCCTTCAAGTAACAAACTCATCCCTATAACGGTTAGACTCAAACGAGAGCTGTACAATAGGGTCAAATCTATCACTCTGAGATTATCCAGCTTGTGCCACATGTGACTTAGCATATTCACTTAATAGCTAACTCACATTACTAAGAGTCCAAAAAGCACAAAGCAAGCAACATTCAGACAATGAAAAATCTAACCATCATATTCCAATCTAATCATTTTATCCTCTAATTAGGAGTCTGTACATGCAATTCAAAGCCTCATACAATCATGCATAACCTAAACAGGCTATCCTATCACTGACTGATCAGTATTAGCATGCAAGTCTACAAGCACATATAATAGGCATATAAGGCATCCTCCTAGATCCTTAACCCTAATCTAGCATGCAATCCTCATAAGCATATCATATCATAACATCTCATAACATCTCATAACATGTATGCATATCTTGGGGAAGACTTACTTGAGCTCGGCTGATTGCACGCATCACACACCTTGTTCTTTTCAAAGATCTTTTATCTTTTAAAACTTCTTTTATAAAATGATTTTACTTTTGAAAATTTTCATATCAAGTCCTTAGTTTGAGTTCCGACACACCCGAGAGTGTGTCCGAATCCCACAAACCAAGGCTCTGATACCAACTTGTAACATCCCAAAAACACAGGCCAAAATTTTCGTTATAATTAAGTTATTACAAAACCAACAGTATAATAAAACAGGCATAATAATATCTTATGTCAAACCAGTGTAAATAATCAAGCATGTCATCATAAAATAATATCAGAGTGTAATCCCAAAGATCTCATGTGCGGAAAGCATAGTGTGACGCGCTGCGATCGAGCCGGCTCATTTCCTTTGAAAATGAAGTACCTGAAACCATAAACAAAACCTGTAAGCATGAAGCTTAGTGAGTTTCCCAAAGCATACCACACACACAATCCACATATCACATATCGTGTTAGCTATAAAAGCTACCCGTATCACATATCCTGCTAGCTATAAAAGCTACATATAACATATAAGTCATGCATACAAAAACCTGTAAGAATGCCATGGGCTACCCCACATGGTCTTCACCTAGGACTACCATGGGCTACCCCACATGGTCTTACATCTAATGCCATGGGCTACCCCACATGGTCTTTACTTGGACTGCCATGGGCTACCCCACATGGTCTTACACCCAAGGCCATGGGCTACCCCACATGGTCTTTACTTGGACTGCCATGGGCTACCCCACATGATCTTATACCCAAGTCCATGGGCTCCCCTGAGGTCTTCATGCCAAAACATACGACCACAATCCATATGAAGAGACAGAGTAATTACACATATATCTTAAGCATATAATGGGACGGCCTTGGTGCCGTAGACCCATGGGTATGGTGAAAAGACTCACCTGGTACTGTTGAAGTCTCGTAGACTCAATCCCACACTGCTGAAATCCCGTAGACTCAACCCTAACTGCTGGATGACAGATTCCCAAACTGTGGTGGGCAGCAACGGCTTGACAACGATAGTGGCCTAAAACCCATCTCCAATCTTCGACGGTTCCCCCTTCGGCCGCCCACGACGTCACAGGCAGCGACTGTGGCGTTTGGGTGGCGAAGTAGCAGTAGCAACGTAACAATAGAAAGGAAGCGGCGGAGGTGAAGTTGCGGAATAAAGGTGGTGTTGGTGTTTCCAACTGAAACGAAGCCATGGACTGGTCCCCGGCCTTAGCCACGACAGGAATGGTGACAAAAACTATCCAGATGGTCTTTCTCGCTTGACATCGATGGCGGCAGCGACTGGAGAGTCACGAACGGCGACCATCGCGACGCCCCTCCTTCGATCTCCACTGATGCAACTTCGTTTCCCTCCTAGTTGGTCTTCAACGTCACTCGATGGCTGTTAGGTGGTTGGAGAACGTCTAGGTGGATGGTGGTGGTGAACGGTGACTAAGAGGGATAAGGTGGCGGCTGTTGGGAGAGATGACGGCTAAAGAATATGTGGAGTATTAGGGTTAGGGTTGGGTGGTGATGACGGGTTTATAGTCCGGTATCCAATCAAACATTCCTACATGACAACACCTTTGGTCCCTCCCTTTCCTTATTCTTTCACAACAAGTCCGAAATTTACCTTTTTAACCCCGATTCCATAAATCCTGTACAAAACTAATCCAGAATTTACCCTTCAGCCCTCAACTTCTAAATTTATGATAATTAGCCCCTTGAGACCATCCATTGATATATAATTATTTATTTTAGCGCTACTATTCGCTCATTATTTTATTTATTTATTTATAAATAAATGGGTGTTACATTTATGCTAAATAACCTTCTACAAAAATGTTATTTTTATCGGTTATTATACTTGATTGTCTAGTCTGGATCTGTGGGCGTTACAAATTTATTTTAGAAGAAAAATATATGTACAAATTTGAAAAGGTTGTCAATTATTTGTGTCTTGAATATGATACCCTTTGTTTCGTGACTAACCTTGTTAAAATGGTTGAACCTAAAGATTATCATGAAGGCCGTAATGATCCTAACTAGATTAATGACATGAATAAAGAAATGGAAGCTCTTTATCGAATTCAAACCTAGGTCATGAAAAATCTTCATGATCGGAAATTAATTAGTTCTAAATGGGTTTAAAATATTCAATATAAGTCTAATAGTGAGGTTGAGCATCACAAATATTATTTGGTTGTGAAAGGTTATTCATAAAAATAAGGGATAAATTATGATGAAACATCTTCTTTGATAGCTAATTTTATTAAAGTTAGGTGTTTGTGTACTCTATTTGTTAATAGTGATTAGAAGTTATATCAACTATACATAAATATTGCTTTGTATATGGTGAAATTAAAGAAGATGGTTCCTCATGGATATTTTTCTAAAAATAATACTAGAGATTGTAATTTTCTTAAAGCGTTATATGGACTTAAGAAAGCTCTAAGAAAATGGAACAATTAAACAAAATGTTAATTTCCTTTTTTAATTGAGTATCCCTTTTGTCAAATAAAAGTGATTATCTAACAAAAACCAAATTGTTTTGTTTCCCTTTTAGTTTACTTTGATGATGTATTTTGATAGAAAGTTGACTAGTAAAATCATTTCTAAATAAGTCAAAATTAAAGACTTAGGATAGTGGTTTTGGAAAGTAAAATTGTTAACTTGAAAATATATCCCTTTATTTGTCTATTGCAACAATAATAAAACTATAAATACACCCCTTGATGTGTGTACTATAATCAGTAGTGTTGCAGAAATCGACCTAATCGGCTAATTAATCGGCAATTAATCGCTATCGGATCTCCGCCGATGAGATTTATTGCTAATCAGTCACTATGATCGGGTCTGGTCAATACATGTCAAAGTCGGAATTAATCGGACCTAATCAGACCTAATTGGACTTAATTGGACCTAATCGATTTTGGTCAACGCAGGTCAAAGTCGGACATAATCGGCCCTAATCGGACCTAATTGCCGATTAATCACTTTTTTTTTGTAGGATTAAAATTAGATTTATAAATTTTTGAATAATTTTTCTTAATAATTAATGGTCCCCGATTAATCTCCCGATTAATTCCCGCCTAACCGATTAATCCCTAATCGCTAGTCCACCGATTAACGGTCGATTAGCGATTTCTGCAACCATGATACTCAGTAATAAAGAAATTGATGATAAAGAGGAATTGTAACAAATTTTACTAGATATTGACAACTTACTAGTTAGTTGACATATCTTATCAATATATGGGATGATATATTGTTTACAATTTATACCTTAAGTCAATTCATACATTCTCCAAGAAACTCATATTTAAGATTAGGCATTAGAGTTCATAGGTACTTAAAATTGTGGTATAGGAGTTACAATAATTAAATATGTGAACTTGCAAATTATGGCTTATGTCGATGTTGACTGGAAATGATGTTTGAGTACACAAAGACCAGTCTTTGCTTTTTATTTGTTTCTTGGTAATTATTAGATATCTTGAAAAAACAAGAAACAAGCCAATGTGTCATTATTCTACTAAGCCAGAATATAGAGCCTTGACTTTTGTTACATGTAAAATCTTTGAGGTTGTAAAGAGTATAAGATATTTGAATACCAAATGCAATTTCTAGTAGAAATTTTATGTGATAATAATTCAACTATTTGGATGAGTTTGGATCTTGCTTTCCATGAAAGAACTAAGCACACTAAAATAGATGTGTATTTGGTCAAATAAAAGGTTTTGGAAGGTGTAGTTAAGGTTAAAAAGGTTGCTTCAAGGGAGCATGTTGTATATGTGATTACTAGGTCACGATCTGGCTTCCATAATTCCTACATATGTGGAAAATTGAATACGTTTGAAAGTTAAGTTGAAGCGGGCATATTGAAATATACATACAAAAAGTTAAGCAATCTCAACCTTTTTTAAGTTCAAATTTATTTATGTTTTAAGTTACAACTTTTTTTAACTGCTCTAGTATTATGCAACATTATTAATATGCAATGGCCTGATAAAGTAAATTGGGTTAAGAAAAATTGCTTGTTGGGCTCATGCACTGGTGCTCTATAGGGACATATATGCAAATTCTGATTGTGAGGAACTTTCTTGGAGTGTGTGTTCATTTGGAGTTTCATAAAACAAGGTATGCTGTAGTATTTCTCTTTTTGGTGTGATTTTTTTCTCAAAAATTTTAGTCGTTGATATTTTTATTTTAGGTCCTTTCACTAGGTCTATAGAAGGTTTCTTAAAACAAAAGTGTGTAGGAATGGTGATAATAAGATTCTCGCGTTAACATTACAATCAAAAGAAATCTAAGATAGTTGATTGGTGTAATCTTTCATTGATTTATATTCAGTGATGGTGCTTCTTGATACTACTACTTTTCATTCCCTAATATAATAATGATATCACAAGGATCTTTTCATTATGGATATTGGTTGTCGCAATTTAAAAATATTCAAAATTGATGGGTGGTTATCAAATCACACACAAGTATCAGAAGGGGTCTTGTATCTTATATGGGTGTTCACTTATTGCCTTTTCGTGTTGTTATTCTTATCTCTTCTTGTTATATTGGAGCAAAACCTTGTGTTTTTGACCTTCGATCGGCTGATCTTGTTTCTTCAACATATCGGCTGTTTAAAAAAAGATTGTATAAATAACAATGTATAACCTGTTCAAGACCTCACTAAGAAAAATTAGAACAAAATAAAACAATGTTATCATTCATAATTTTGTTAAGATTAAAATAAAATAAAATCAATAAATGTGGCCAAAAGTAGAGAAAGAGAGATGATTTACTAACCTTCACCAGCTACCAACCAAGTTAAGAAATATGATGAAACCATTTGTAAAAAATCAAACACTTGTACCTATGAAATGATAATAAACTAATTAACTAATCAAAATTTAGTAAAGGAAAATATAACAAGAAGAATGCATGCATAGTAAGAAGAACTAACATACAGGTAATGGAAATGCTGACAAGAATGTGAAAGATTGGTAACCATCAAGTGATTTTGATGCCATACGAGTCACTCCATGCGTAATCATTGTCCTCAAAATTCTTTTCTGTTCATATCTGTTAAAAATTATTATTCACATGTGCAAAATTTAATTATTTGATACACAAAAAACATAGAGATCATTGCTAGTAATAAATGTTTTCAAGTACCTCTTAAGTGCAGATGCAATATCAATCGACTTGACAGCATTGTATTCACTTTTTTTGATACTTTCCAGTTCATGAATCAATCGGTGACAATCCTACAAATCACAAATGTATTGAAATATATAGTCTCTTAATCTAGTAACTACAAATGACTTACTAAAAGTTTACATGAAACATAGGCATTAGTTAATTTGTTTACCATTATAATACATTCAATCCTTTTACCTCTATTGCCAAGCAACCACCTAGCCCTAAATTAGGTTGCAAAGGGTGAGCAGCATCTCCTAAAAGTGTAACACGTCCTTTGCCCCATGAGTATATCATGTCTCGATCGTATATATCCCTTCGTAAAATCATTTCTTCTCTTGTTTTAGCTATCAATGTAGTCACATCGCTACACCAACTCCGAAATAGCTTAGTCAGCCTGACCTTTTTACCTGTATGGTCTAAAGAAAAGAATATTACTTTCTTATGCATAATAATACATATAAAGGAACATATAATCGTAGCTTTGTATGTCTTTTTACCGTATTTATAAAGTATTTATTCATTAATTACCTTCCAAAGTACCACTGGCTATTTGGGGCTCCTTATGGAAGGCGTACCATTGCATTTTTCCATTGCCAACATCAGAAGCAACAAAGTATTGGTTCCTCCCTAGGAACACACGATAGCTGAAAAATGAAAATGAATGACTTAAATTTTATCATAGTTGGTAAATATATAAGATGTGGATCATATCAAGGACGTAGAAAACTCTTTTATGGATAAGTGGAAGAAGGATAAAAAGGATGAAAACACGCTTAATTCTAATCTGAGATAACTTTTCATATGTTGGGAATTATAAATCACCTTATTTGTACATAAACATTTCGATAATGGGTCGGAGATCATAACAATGCAACTACAACTTCCATCTTTCTTTTTTTTTTTTCAATTTATTCTCGTTTCCTATTATAAATTATTTTGTTTTGGGCTTTGTTTGGTAGACTAGCTAAAAAGCCTGCTAACCGATAAAAAATATATTTGATAAAACTATCCAATAAGCTAGCTAGAATATATAAAATGACATAAAGATAATATATATATATATATATATATATATATATATATATATATATATATATTAGTTTTTTTAATAATTGATAAAAGCGTATATTTGGGAGAACTTTAAAAATGCTTAATAAGCTCAGTGAAATGCTATTCTAAGTAGCTTCTAATCTAATTGTTTATTTTCCAAATATGACAACATAAAAAAAAACCTTAAAAATTTAAACTAGCTTAGGTGTGCCAAACATAAGCTAAGTTGTTAATTGACTTTCATTGTTTCCATGACTTTTGAAAAATCATATGATTAACTAGCATCTTGATTTCATTATTTTTTATCCATTATATGTTTTAGAAATTTGACAATATTATCAAATTTGAATCCAACCAAGTAAAACTTAATTTTAATGCACTTATAGATAAGAATGAATGTAAGCCTTCAGAACATCTTTGGAGTTCAATAAATTTCTTCATGAAATCCTAAACACTTTTGTGTTAATTACTTTCGTTAATTGCCAATCTCCATGTTAAGCAAAGATATGTACCCAATAGAATTCGTGTATGAGGGGACGTAGTCTACTGATCCACTATAGCAAGTATAGCCTGAATAGCTTGCTTCTTGTGTTCCAAACAATTTCTTACGCACCTATAGAAAACATGAAACATAAAAAGGAGTTAATATATCATTGAACCTAATATAGAAAATACTTAAAAAAAGTAAAGGTTACCTCCGACCAAATTCCATCAGCTCCAACCAAGATATCACCTTCAAACTGTCGCCCATCATCAAGGGTTGCTACAACCTACAAAAGTGCATTATTGTACAATATTATTATAAATACATGTTCTTTCAAGATGTATAGGAGACATATACATGTAGGCATGGCTAAAAGAACAAAAAAAATGTGAACTTTATATAACATTAGAATACATGATTGAAAAGGGAGTTTGACCTTATGAGGATCTTGGGAGATATCAATAACTTTAGAATTGTTTAACACAATGTGATCTCCCACTGCTTTCAATAAGATTTCTTGCAATGTCGTTCTTGATATTACCAGAGTCACAGGAAGTCCTTTCTTAATTGCAGGAGCCAGGAGATCAATTTTGGCAAGCCTAAGGGGTTCAAACTATCAATAATTTAAATGTTTCTTATTGTATTTTAACTTAAATTATGTTAAGAAAAAGAAAATAAAAGATGGTAGCAGTTATAATGTTGGATCTCATGTAAAAGTTAGAAAATGACTATTTTTATAAAATAGAAGAAAACATTTTGTTTCCAAATTTAACAAAGAGTTAAGATGTTCTTATAAAAGAACTTTTTTTAAATACGTTTTGTAAGGCACCATATGTTATAAAGAAATCAATAGGGATAAAAATGTGTGTGTCCAAACTAAAAGATCTCTTAGGGGTTTGTTATCACCTAAAATTATGATTTTTAGTCAAATATTTTTTTTATCAAAAAGTTTATTTAGGCACCACACTTTTACATTACGTGATACAATTTAAGGATTCATGAAATTTAAAGAGGGGGAGTAGGCACGTTATAATTGAGATTAAAATTTTATAGAGTGGAGCAAGAGAAATTAAAGGATGAAGATAGTGGTTGATCAAAACACTCATATACTAATTTTATGCTCCGTATTCTATTGCTAAGTTCATATTTTGGTAGTTGGATTAAAAGAGGATTCAATACCCTAATCCCTATACAAACATGTATGTTAGAAATCATGACGAATTAGAGTGTTGCTAGTATGTTTTCAAGTCTTAAACACCATAAATGAAGCATGTAGTTCAAGGTATGTAGGATTGGAGATTTTAATCCTTAACCCTAAGTTGCGTGAATGATGACATGAATGAAATTGTGTTCATAAATTAAGTAATTAATACCTAACAATGAACTATATATGAAGTACAATTAGTTTGGACGGTTGGATTAAGTCATGTACAAATGACTTAAATATTTAGCTATGATATGCAAGTTGATGAAATGATGATTCAATGATATGTAGCTTATGTCTTAATGAATTAAGACATATGAACATCTAGTTTATGGAATATAGATGATTTATATGTAATTAAGTATTATGACTTGATGAAGTATAAGTCAAATCTACAGATAAATGAGTGGTATCTTGAGTTCTAATACTCAAGATTTGTATGTTACTTTGATAACTTCAAAAGCAAGGTCAAAGACAGGATTACATGATATAATTTGATCATTAGCACGTAATATTAAGTCAAATCTAGAGGTAAGAGTGCATCTAAATGATAGAAGACTTACTAGTTCTTGTATACTTTTGTTCTTAAAACAATTGTAATTAATGGTTCGATCCTTGGATATATTTTGGGTATTATATATTATGATAACTACTTTTCTATTGTTTATATTAAAAATTTACCCATTTGTTTTGTTATAAAACAAAAATTAGATGTACTTTCTGTTAAATTGTCGGACGTTATTGGTTGGTAATGAAGTTTTGGTTTAAGTTAACTAGGCATCTATGTATGACCCTAGACTTGAACTATGAGAGAGAGTATATATATATATATATATATATATATATATATATATATATATATATATATCTATACTACCTTATAATAGAAATCCAACTATTTCCATAAATAGATTCAATATAATAATAATATTTTTTAAGACGTCCAAACCATTAAGCTGTTAGTACAAGTAATCATTAATAAAATAATATTAAATTTTAAGAGGTATAACCCTTATTACGCTATTTACAATGAGTTTATGCATAGAAAAATACCAAATCTTACGCGGTTAACATGAATTACGTACATATTGAATAGGCTTTGGCTTTCTTCTTCAAATTGAACTGGTCAAAGAAGAACCCGTCTTCCTCAGATTTTGCCAATTGAATCGGTCTATAGATAAACTTTATATATCATCTCTTATCTTAGTATCTATAGCCCTTCCTTGTAGAATAACCCTAGATGAGTCGCCATCTCTTCTCTCCTTGAACTCTCTCCCTCTCTATTAAATACTCTAAAATTCCTCCCATATTCGACGCAGTTACCCACCACACCTTGACCACTGAGACCATTACAGTCGCTGCTAAACACCTCTGCCTTTCTCTTCTCTTGCATATCTCCTTTAGAAACCCGAATATCGAACATCACAACACCATCAGTAAACTTTGTTGTCACATAACCTTCACTACCATCAAACAGGCCACCTTCATCATCATCGCACTTCATCTTACCACCGTTCACAACCCCCATCTCTCGACATCTAGCATATGCTACTGTTCTATTCTCTAATTATTTGATTTTGATCGATTGCACCGGTCAAGTCTAGAACGAATCTTTTTCTTCATATCTCTGCCCCATCCCCTTATATGACCAATTGACTGCAAAAAATTTCTTATCTGTGAGGTCGTAAGTGTTACGCATTTTACACACATACCTGGAGACCTAACCATCTACTACTCACAGCTGGTCGCACTCGACTCTCTAGAAACCTCAGACAACCATTTTCACAACAAGTGTCACAGTGGACCAGGATCCAACACGATTTCAAGGTTAGTGCTCTTTAAGCCATATGCACACACATATTCTCTTTTTGTGGTCATAGGTCTCCAACCATCTCTCTCTCTCTCTCTCTCTCTCTCTCTCTATTGCAGAACCAGGAGGCAAACACTATTAATTTACAAACGTTCTCTAACAATACAGGTTTTTGTTAGCAATTTTAAAGTGTTCTTTTCAGTCATTTATCACATAATCGTCAATGTTTACTCTCAATTTCCGGTGTTTCCTCTCCATTTCAGGTTCTGATGTTTGTCTACATTTTGGGTAATCATTTGTATATTAAATATTCTTGTATAAGTGTATCTAGAGTAAAGCTTTCTTGTTTAAGTGGTACTAAGGGTATTTGTGTCCTTTTGACATTTCTCAACTATCTGTATCAATTCAGGTATATCTTCAACTATCTGTACTGATATGGACTCCAGTTAATGAAGGAAATATCTTATTACTCTATCATTTTACTGTAGTTGTTGAATCCTTATCCATTTAATTAATGTTTGTTTTCAAGAAAAATAACAATTTTTGTTATGAATTGGGTGAAAATCACAGAAATCGAACTGTTATCATGACCTCACCACCATCGTCTACCATCTTTGTCTTCTCCCCTATCTTTGTATTCACACTCTAATTAAACCCCAACGTTGAAGCCTTCACTAACCATCTCCATCTTCACCACTATCCAGGTAAATAGTTCTATCAAATTCTCTGTTCCATGTTTTTTTTAGTTTTACTTAATTGTCATATAATGATTTTACTCTGTGTTTCATGGATATATCGATTCTTACACTCACCTATGTTGTTTAAGATTATTTAGAGCTATTCATAAATGCCAGATTATTTGATGAGATCAGCACACACTATTTCCAACCAGTTTTAGGGTTAGTTGTTTATTTTATTCACAATTTATGAGCTTGTTTTACATTATTTTTTGCAGGAGTATATTGCCTAACACCCAATGTGCAGAATATTGGTTCAAGTTAATTCAATATATTTCAAAACTTGACTATGATTATTGTGTTTAATTCATCTTGGTTTTGTTTTTGGATTGTAAGAATTTTATTATTTTTTTAAGTTGTTTTAGTTTATCTGATTTATAGGTTTTGGATAATTTTTTCATTTGATGTCCACTCTCTCATTTTTTCGAAGCACGACCTGTTACTTCATCTCTTCAACAGTTCAACTGATTGTGATTCTCACGATTAAAAGAAAGAGTGATTTTATTCTAGAGAATTATCTCCCCTTACAAGCTCAAGTTAAGTTTTTTTTAACCCAAATTGCACATTTGGTATTATCAATATTCTTAATATTTGAATGCAATTGCAGATTAGCTAATACCGTACTTCCATTTTATCTTATTCTTTGCATTGAAAACAACTAAATACAAGGAATAGCATCGTACTTTCATTTATATGCGAAACTCTAAGCTTTCTTCCCCAATTCGCATTTATACATTAAAAACTTCGCATTTTCATTCAAATTCTTCGCATCTTGCATCCATCCGTCTTTGAGTTCATTCGCATTTCATCGCATTAACTGAGAAATTAATCAGTTGTCTCATATTCGCATTTCAGTTGTTTGAGAAACCCAGATACGAACCCAAATGCGAAACCCACTGATTTCAAATGCGAACCAACCAAAAATCATCAACCACGTACTTGTGTCACCAAATGCGAACTGAATATCACCATTAAATTCTCCTCGCATTCTATAGATGCGAACACAATCCAGATCTCCGACTCCAAGCTTGCGAAATCAAAATCAATTAACCTCAAACAAATCGTGAACTTCTTATGCGAACTGTTTTGACCCACAAAACCAAATGCGAACTCAATTGATGTCATATGCGAACTGATTTCATAGATGCGAACACAATTGATTTCATATGCGAATCCACATCCATCGATATGAAACCAATACCAGTTACAAGTAATTAGTAGCAACCATCGATCCTCTAATTTTCAATTACTCAGCCTTCGCTTTTCATACAACCCGTCGACCCTGAAAAATCGATAAACACCAAATGTCTCATTTTTAGATCGATTTTCTGATTAAATGTCATATTTGAAGAATGATCGATTTTCTGATTAAATGACCCCATTTTGCGAAGTTGGACCACTTATATTATTTCTTGAAAAGATCAGGTGCCAAATGCGAAACTCTAAGCTTTCTTCCCCAATTCGCATTTATACATTAAAAACTTCGCATTTTCATTCAAATTCTTCGCATCTTGCATCCATCCGTCTTTGAGTTCATTCGCATTTCATCGCATTAACTGAGAAATTAATCAGTTGTCTCATATTCGCATTTCAGTTGTTTGAGAAACCCAGATACGAACCCAAATGCGAAACCCACTAATTTCAAATGCGAACCAACCAAAAATCATCAACCACGTACTTGTGTCACCAAATGCGAACTGAATATCACCATTAAATTCTCCTCGCATTCTATAGATGCGAACACAATCCAGATCTCCGACTCCAAGCTTGCGATATCAAAATCAATTAACCTCAAACAAATCGTGAACTTCTTATGCGAACTGTTTTGACCCACAAAACCAAATGCGAACTCAATTGATGTCATATGCGAACTGATTTCATAGATGCGAACACAATTGATTTCATATGCGAATCCACATCCATCGATATGAAACCAATACCAGTTACAAGTAATTAGTAGCAACCATCGATCCTCTAATTTTCAATTACTCAGCCTTCGCTTTTCATACAACCCGTCGACCCTGAAAAATCGATAAACACCAAATGTCTCATTTTTAGATCGATTTTCTGATTAAATGTCATATTTGAAGAATGATCGATTTTCTGATTAAATGACCCCATTTTGCGAAGTTGGACCACTTATATTATTTCTTGAAAAGATCAGGTGCCAAATGCGAAACTCTAAGCTTTCTTCCCCAATTCGCATTTATACATTAAAAACTTCGCATTTTCATTCAAATTCTTCGCATCTTGCATCCATCCGTCTTTGAGTTCATTCGCATTTCATCGCATTAACTGAGAAATTAATCAGTTGTCTCATATTCGCATTTCAGTTGTTTGAGAAACCCAGATACGAACCCAAATGCGAAACCCACTAATTTCAAATGCGAACCAACCAAAAATCATCAACCACGTACTTGTGTCACCAAATGCGAACTGAATATCACCATTAAATTCTCCTCGCATTCTATAGATGCGAACACAATCCAGATCTCCGACTCCAAGCTTGCGAATCAAAATCAATTAACCTCAAACAAATCGTGAACTTCTTATGCGAACTGTTTTGACCCACAAAACCAAATGCGAACTCAATTGATGTCATATGCGAACTGATTTCATAGATGCGAACACAATTGATTTCATATGCGAATCCACATCCATCGATATGAAACCAATACCAGTTACAAGTAATTAGTAGCAACCATCGATCCTCTAATTTTCAATTACTCAGCCTTCGCTTTTCATACAACCCGTCGACCCTGAAAAATCGATAAACACCAAATGTCTCATTTTTAGATCGATTTTCTGATTAAATGTCATATTTGAAGAATGATCGATTTTCTGATTAAATGACCCCATTTTGCGAAGTTGGACCACTTATATTATTTCTTGAAAAGATCAGGTGCCAAATGCGAAACTCTAAGCTTTCTTCCCCAATTCGCATTTATACATTAAAAACTTCGCATTTTCATTCAAATTCTTCGCATCTTGCATCCATCCGTCTTTGAGTTCATTCGCATTTCATCGCATTAACTGAGAAATTAATCAGTTGTCTCATATTCGCATTTCAGTTGTTTGAGAAACCCAGATACGAACCCAAATGCGAAACCCACTAATTTCAAATGCGAACCAACCAAAAATCATCAACCACGTACTTGTGTCACCAAATGCGAACTGAATATCACCATTAAATTCTCCTCGCATTCTATAGATGCGAACACAATCCAGATCTCCGACTCCAAGCTTGCGAAATCAAAATCAATTAACCTCAAACAAATCGTGAACTTCTTATGCGAACTGTTTTGACCCACAAAACCAAATGCGAACTCAATTGATGTCATATGCGAACTGATTTCATAGATGCGAACACAATTGATTTCATATGCGAATCCACATCCATCGATATGAAACCAATACCAGTTACAAGCAATTAGTAGCAACCATCGATCCTCTAATGAGGAAACAGTTTCCTATTCGATTGTGCTTTGCAATGACAATCAATAAAGCTCAGGGACAAACAATTCCATATGTAGGTATCTATCTTCCAGAACCAGTATTCTCGCATGGACAACTTTATGTTGCATTGTCCAGAGGGGTTTCACGTTGCAATACAAAAGTATTAGTAAACCCTAACGAAAATTCAAAAGGTGATGGGGTTTATACAGCAAATGTGGTGTATAAAGAAGTATTGCACGATTAATATTTTGTGTCGTCTTGATTGGTTGCTTTTTATTGGTTATTTGATGCATGATGTAACAAATAACACCATAGTTTGATTATATTGTCTTCAACATGTACTTTTTTTTAACATAACAATTTTGTAATGGAAACATATCACCGAAAGAACTCACGTGCCCCGCCGCTTTGCGCGGGTAGACGGCTAGTATATATATATATATATATATATATATATATATATATATATATATATATATATATATTCGTATGTATGTATCTATTTTTATGTATTTAGAAGTATGAATATATGAAAAATCTCTGATAAAGTCTCAATATTTTCAACTCGTTTATGGTTTAACCATGATTTTTGTTTTTTGAACAAAAAAGAATCGATTATTTTAAATTTTACATAAATTAATGAAATAGCTCTTATTTTTTTCAACAGAAATTGATAAATTATCATATATAATTAAATAGTCGGGACTTTGATTTTCAAAAAGTAAATATTAAAATTAAACCCTGAACTGATCCAAAATATTAAGTTTCTTTCATAGATTTCTCTAGATATATTGTTAGAAGTATAAATACAATTTTAGAAGCATAAATATGTATCTCATATATATATATATATATATATATATATATATATATATATATATATATATATATATATATATATATATATATATATTAAAAATAATTAATAGTAAAAAACATAAAAGTATGTATTTATACTTTCAAAAGTGTATCTATCATTTTAAATACGTAAAAATATATATATATTTATATTTAAAAAAACATTTTATATATTTAAACCGTGTAAATAGATATAAAAAAACCTTGTATATGAAGAAATAACATGAAAAAAATATAAATACGATGTTTAATAAATTATTTTTTCATATATAAATATTAGTCTTGGCTAAAAACTATATGGCTTGCTTGTGATTTTCTTGTGACAGACATCAGCCATTATTTGTTATTTGATATTTGACAAAAATGTTTGTATGAAAATTTTCTATTTTGATGTGTTAACATGGAATAAACAATATTTGTCGAAATTCACAATGAGGGTTTATTTGCTCATCCATGAATATTTGAGTATTTTTTTAATTCTTTGTCATAACTCATAACTTGCAATAATGGGAATTATGTGATCAAAATTGTTTCATACTTTGAAATATTTGTCTTTATTGATTTTGTGATTTAATTGACCAATTGAAAGCCTTTCGAATGTGGATGGTATAAGAACACAATAACAAGTGCTTATTATATCTTGCAAAATCGAAATTGAAAGGTCACGTATGGTCTTGCTTAAATTGGAAGCCTTGCCAAAAAAAAAAAAAAAAAAAAAAAAAAAAAAAAAAAAAAAAAGAGGTATATCATTTATTATTATTGATGTGATGGAGAGGAAAATGAAACAATTAGCTTGATGCTCTTTTATTATATGGTTGTAACTTCATGTTAATAGTTTTTATTGATTCATCGAATTTAGTATTTATTATTATTAGTTTATTATATATTAGATCGAATATTGATATTTATTAATTTATTATATGTAGATGTAAATTAATGATTTATTAATGAGATTCTAAATTACTATATCCATGTTAATATTGTTGATATTTAAATAGTTTTTTTTATTGATATTGTATTGATATAAAGATGAAATGTAACATTTTTTAGTTTTTTTAACAACAAAGCAATATATTAAACAAAGCACTAGCAAGTAGCTAAGAGCTAGAAAGAATTGCCAAATAACATAGAGAGGGCTTTTAAACCAGCATAGAGAGATTCTAAACTACTATATATTACTTTAAACAGCAAAGCAATATTAAAAAAATTAAGAAATAACAAAGGTTGAAAGTTGAAACCCTCCTTATAGCCATTAAAAACAGTGGATTTTTTGGTGTCAATTACAAGAGAGTTAAAATCGTGCGCCTTGTTATCAAAAACTAAAATGGTTAAATGATTTTTGGTATAAACTTTAATTCACTTTTAGCTTTATATACTATTGTAAAAACTGATATGATATAATTGAAATCCGAGACATGAATGCTCTTATTTTACTGGGCTTTTTATTTTACATATATTGTTCCACACAATTCTTGTTGATGGGAGAGTTTATAGGATTTTTGGTACAAACTTTCTACTGCATGTGTTCTTAACTTCTTATGTTGTATAAATCTTTCAAACTTCTATTTTATTACGAATATATGCAATCCATGTTTTGGTCGTTTATCAATTTCTGTGGTCACGATTTAATAGATCAATAATCTCCTAACTTTATATTATATAAAACAATATATAATCCTATAAAATATATATATGTAGGTGCATAAGTACACAAAATCCGAGCTTTTAGAATGAATTGATAGATAAGTTTGTTATATATAAATTATTAATAAAAGCGTACTTTGTAAGATATATAGTTATATATCATACATGATTAATATTTGTAAGAGAAATAATTTACCACTTACCAGTCGCCGGAAACTCCATCAACAAGACCATTGATCCTATCTCCGGTGACACACCCTGCATTCATAACTTGCTCCGCCACCCCCTTATGAATATCCATCAACACACCCAACGCACTGCTCATCAGCTGAATTGGTCCCCTATACCTTCCTTCCCCTCTAATTGCGCTCAAATTCTTCTCAAACACCATAACATCAAACCCTCTTTCTTTTGCTGCCAACGCAAGAACCAGCCCACCAATCCCACCACCGGCGATCAGAATCCTAACCCTTCTTTCCTTCTTCTTCTTCTTCTCTACACCTTCATATGTTTCATGTTTAGTTTCTGTACTACTGCTGTTGTTTTTAGCTATTACTTCGTATCTTCTTGTTCTTTTGGGGTTCCTATAGGTGGAAGATATTATGGAGTTTTTCTTGGTATTGATTATGCTGCAACTGATTGAAAAAAGTTTCGGTGAAAGATAGTTAGTTTGGTGAAGAGGATGATAGGAAGTACGTGTCAGGCACTGTGGAAATGCCATTGGCCAATATGAATGAAACCGAGAATTAGGGAAAGCTTTATGGAACAAGTGAGGAGATGTCATTGGCTAATAGGAGAGGGAGAGTGACACGACATGTGATAGTGAGTGCTTCTGTCGTATGGGATTATTTAGTAGTTTTTATTGCACAATTTATTTCAAATCAGTCGTCTTGTACCCTTTTAAATGTTTCATTTGAATTAAGATCATAAAAGCACTTCTATTTTAGGTAAGGGCGATGGTAAGTGGTCAATACACCTAATTTTTTTTAATTATTTAAAATTTCTATAAAAAGCTTTTAGTGACTTATCTTTAAAACAATTTGTAGCTATCTTACCTATAAAATCTTTTACATATAAAATGTTTGAATTTTGTATAGAAAATTTTCTATAGAAAAATTAGAGAACCATATAATTATTTATTCTAGACTCAGTTACTGATTTTAGGTTATGTATGCAATAAAAGACTTATTTAAAAGTATACAAAAGTCATCAAAGAAACCACTTAACGAGTTCACGGAATGCGAAAATTTTGGACAAATTAAAATGTAAATTAAAACTTGTGTGTTATTGACAAAATAAATAACAAATAAAAATTAAAAAATTAAAAAAAAAATGAATTTTGAACATTCTATCAAATTTTATGTTTGAAGGGATTGGTCATTCCTTATGTTTCATTAATACAACTAAAATATTTTTTTGCTTTTGTTTTATTTGCTATGTTTTATTAAAAGTATAAAGATATTCTTTCATCTTCGTTAATCAAAATAAATTATTATCATTTTTCTTCTATGGATTCAAATGTTTAGTACGAGCTGCAAAAAGATCCTTAGGTCATAACGTACGACGAATTAATTTATATAAACTAAAGTTTTTTTTAACGAAGATAAATTTTAGAAATTTGTTTTTCTCATGTAAAAATATGAATCATAAGTAATTTCGAGCAACAAACTTATCTTCAAATCACAGAACGATTTTTAATATTTTATGAACAAAAAGAAAATACAACTTCTACTCAGAATGAAAGGGTATATATTTTACAAATCAGATTTCCTCATGTGTGCTATTTTCTATCTACACTGAGTTTTAATTTTACTGTTTTAATTTTACTTTATTCCACTTTTAATTGTACATTCTACAGAGTTAAAGTTCCTTGTTGTTTATGTATAATCACATATAAAAATAAAAATATTATGCTACATCTTAAAAATAAAATATTCTTAATAAGATGATACAATTATGAATAAAAATATGATATGAGCAAATTTACCTCAAGTTCATCAACATTGACCTTCAGGAGGATAAGATGGGACATCTTCTTAGCAAGCTCAGTTAAGATTGTTGTTATCATAAAACAAGGACGACACCATGAGTCTATCAAGATAAAACCATTTCATTAATAACTTATTCAATCACTGATCTATAAAGTCTAATAAATTGATTTTACGAGTAAAGCCAAGCTACCAACTTCAATTTTCATGCTTGTTTCCCAAAATAGATCAGTGGATTGTGTACAAGAGTAAAAGGCATGGTTTTTTAGAAAACCATATGTCACGACGTGACATGAAGGGTGTCATGACGTAGCATACAAAATGAAGATCGTGTATTCAGATTATGTGTCACGACGTGCCAAATGGTATGTCATGACGTGACAGCAGCTGCAGCCCAAGCCCATGAGCTTTTTTTTTTAGGATTTTCTCCATATTTAAACATCTTAAACTCAAGTTTGGGCATCCTTTTCAGCCTCCAACCTCTCCATTTCGGAAACCCTATCCCCTTTGAGTGTTATTGGTGTTCTTGTCCATTTGGAGGACCATTTCTTATATTTTGATGTGGAGATTGAAGTTCAAATTCTTGTAAAGAGTTTTAAGGGAAGAGCTTAAGTGTCGGTCTAGCAAATGAACTTCATTTCTGGACCATTGTGAGTAAAAAGTTTCTATCATGATCTTTAGATTTCTAGATCTTGTGGTTTGAACATTTACATCCTTTTTGGTCCTTATAAGCTTGTGCTTTGGAGTTGAGTGAACTCTAACACCTCGTGAGCTTATTTTATCATCTCATAATCTTGTTGGATTGGGAAAGTTTGCATCTTGATCTTGTTCTTGAGACCAAGCATGTTTTGGGATGGGTTTACGCTATTAAGGACTTAGGGTTGTAAATCTATCTTTGGGATGGAGTCCTAATGGATAAAGTTGGAAAATTTATCCATTAAGTCAGTAAAAAGAAATAGATTTGAATTTATGGGCGTTGGTATGAAGGAATTAAGCACTTAATGAGGATTTTAGCCTTTTCCAAAAGTCATGACATGGCATAGGGTTCGCCAAAAGTCATTCCTTATGTTTTATTAAAACTACAAAATTATTCGTTAACCTTTGTTTTATTTGCTATGTTTTATTAAAAGTACAAAAATATTCTTTCATCATTGTTAATCAAAACACATTATCATCATCTTTCCCCTATGTATTCAAATGCCCAAGTCGAATCGCAAAAAAGACCCTTAGGTCCTAACGTGTGACAAGTTAAATTATATAGACTGAAGTTATTTTTAAAACGATGATATGTTTCAGAAATCTACATTTCTCATGTGAAAGTGTGAATCATAAGTCATATAGAGTAGCAAATTATCTTCAAATCATAGAAAGATATTTTATTAAATATTTTGTGAACGAAAAGAAGGTACAACTTCTACTCATAGTGAAAGGGTATATATTTCATTAATCTGCTTTACTGATGTGTGCCGTTTTCTATCTACACCAAGTTTTAAATATACTTTATTCTACTTCTAATTGTAATTTCTAGACAATTAAAGTTCCTTATTGTTTACGTATAATCTCATATAAAAATATTATGATACATCCTAAAAATATAGTATTCTAAATAAGATGATAACAATTTGGATAAGAAGATGATATGAGCAAATTTACCTCAAGTTCATCAACATCGACCTTAAGGAAGGTAAGATGGGGCATGTTCTTAGCAAGTTGAGTTAAGATTGGTGCTATCACATGACAAGGACCATGCTATGGGCCTGTCAAGATAAAACCATTTTATTAACAACTTATTCAACCACCAATCTATAAAGTTTAATTAATTGGTTTTACGAGTAAATCCAAGTTATCAACTTTCATTGTAACACCTATTTTCCATAATGGACTAGTGGATTGTGTACATGAGTAAAAGGCATGGTTTTTGTGGAAACTCATATGTCACGACGTGACGTGAAGGGTGTCACGACATGGCTTACAAAATGAAGACCGCATATCCAAATTAGGTGTCACGATATGATAAATGGTGTGTCACGACATGACAGCAGCTGCAGCCCAAGCTCATGAGTTTTTTTTAGGATTTTCTCCATATTTAAGCATCTTAACCTCAGATTACAGTATCCTTATCTTTCTCCAACCTCTCCATTTTGAAAATACTAGCCCCTTTGAGTATTCTTGATGTTCTTGAGCATTTGGAGGATCATTTATTATATTTTGGTATGGAGATTGAAGATCAAATTCTTATAAAGAGTTTTGGGGAATAGCTCAAATGTTGATCTAGCAAAGGAACTTCATTTATGGACCATTCTGACTAAAAAGTTTATATCTTGATCTTTAGATTTCTAGATCTTGTAGTTTGAACATTTACGTTTTTTTTTGTACTTGTGAGCTTATGCTTTGGAGTTGAGTGAACTCTAACACCTCTTGAGCTTATTTTATCATCTCGTAATCTTGTTGGATTGGGCTTTAGGGTAAGGCCTATATGAGGGTTTGGCCTCAATTTGGAAAATTGGGCCATAGATGGGCCATAGATTAGGCCTTGATGGTTATATGATGTTAGGTTATTAGAATGCCAAATGTTTGGAATGGACTAAATAGTCGGGCCTTAAGGGAAGGCCGTGTAGAGGTTTGGGCCGAATTTGGAAGATTGGGCCATATGTTAGGCTTTGACTCATAGTTAACTTATGGGCCTTTAGATAGGTCCTTGTGCTTGAATCAAGCTAAAATAAGGGTAAAGCAGTCTTTTACCCCAAGAATGGACTTATGGGTATATGTGATGGAACCTAATTATTAATTGGGTGTTATTTTGATGTTGACAGATTCGGGAATATGTCATCCAGCAGCTAGGGTCTTGTTCGTAGGACTACAATAGTGTGAGGTGAGTTTCCTTTCAGTAGGAACGACTCGAAGGCACCAAGGCCAGCCCGTATATGTGATATGTTAGTAGCTGAGTGTGGGTGGGGCCCGAATCTGATAGTAACCGAGTGTCGGCGGGGCCCGAATCTCATAGTATTATTTGATTATAGATATGTGAATGCTCGATATATTAGATATACTTATTTTCTGTGGGATACTGGTATGCATGTTAGTAGTTGAGTGTAGGTGAGGCCCGAATCTTATAGTAGTCGAGTGTGGACGGGGCCCAAATCTCGTAATTTTATTTGAGTATAGTTATGTTCCTGCTTGATAGAGTTTGATATACTTGTTGTCTGTTTGATACTTGTATGCATGATAGTATCCGAGTGTGGGTGGGGACCGAATATCAGAGTGTAAGGTCCTTGATGGAAGGATCTATACCAATGATCAATTAAGCAAGTGAAATAATAAAGAAGATGAGAAGAAGAATGAAAAAATTGAGCTTGCATACGATTAGATCTGAAAATCGTCTAATACAACTCAATGAATCGAAAACGAAGTGAACCCCTCACTGTAAAAATGACAACCTGACACCTATTTATACTAACACTGACCGAGAACAGGTTTCCGGTTACAGCCTAATCGAAAACCTTTCCTAGACCTAAAACATGACAAATACCGAAAACACTCCAAATAACATTCTCAAAAGCCCTAACTCATTTATACATGTAATGCCTAGCCCAAACCATATACTTTGACCTTTCAATCTCCCCATTGGTTTGCGGCTAGTATGAGTTAGTCTTTATCAAACAGCGTCACATCGGTCCCCTCCATCGATCCACTCCACCTACCCTTTTGGATAATTTCTGCCACCATTGAAGTGTACTCCTTTGCAACATGCTCGAAGATTTCCTTAGCAACTTTAATTTGATGCAGAGACAAGTGA